CTCTGCTTTCCATTTCACCTAACAACTAGCCCAGAGTTTTGCACGTGGAAAAAAAAAAAAAAAACTCACTGCCATCGAGTTGATCCCAACTCATTGTGACCCACCCCCCTTGGGTTTTTGAGGCAGTATCTCTATGAAAGTAGATTGCCAAATCTTCCTTCTGAGGAGTGGCTGGGTTTGAACCACCAGCCTTCTGGTTAGCAGTCAAATGGGTACCCAATAAATACTGAGGTGAAATGCAAGTGATTAAATCTAAATCTCACTTCTAGACAAATTAAAGAAACAAAAATCTTTAAAAGACCACCTCAATGTTGGGTTGTTCTCTCCTAGAAACCATTCATATTCCACATTCATTCATTCAACAATGCTCTTAGTACCTACTATGTAGCAGACACAAGATACCCACCTTCATGGAACTTACATTGTGTGGGAGATTAATAAAACAAGTACACAGATGAATTAACAAGATAATTACAAGAAATAAACAGGAATGCTATGATAAAATAAATGAGGAGTAGGGTCAGGGGAAACCCTTTTAAGGAGGTGATCATGTCCAACTTGTCTGAAAAGGTGACATCAGAAGTAAGGTGAGATCTGAAGTAAATGTCAGAGATTTGACACTACACTGAAGTATTTCCAATTAACTATATGTTCCTCATAATTTTTGCAAAACAGATATACTAAGTGACAAAATATGTGAAGTTATTGGTAGACTAAAAAACACACTGATATGAATATACAGAAGATATAAAATCGGATGATAATACATATAAAAATATGAAATATGAAACAAACCAGAAAAAAGAAAAACCCAAACTCACTGCTATCAAGTCCACTCCAAATCATAGCAATCCTATAGGACAGAGTAGAAGTGACACATTGGGTTTCCAAGGCCATAAATCTTCACAGAAACAGACTGCCACATCTTTCTCCCACAGAGCTTCTAGAGGGTTCAAACTGCCAACCTTTAGGTGAGCAGCCAAGCACTTTAACCACTGTGCAACCAGGGTACCCTATATCAGTTCATTAATCTTAATTATAAAATAAAGCTTTGGATCTACTTTAACACATGTATTCAAACATTACATTACACAAACATTTATTTTTCTAAGTTAAAACACTTATCTAGTCTTGTCCTTACTTTAATAACTCCTTGTTGTATAGCAGGTGACGGGTGGTTAACAAGGACTAAGAGTGTATCAGCTTGAATAAGTTTGTCCATCACATCTGCAAGCATAATATCAGGCAGAATAAGAAGAACTCCACTTAAGAGGTCATATAATCCACAGCAGATAGGTACCAAACAGTCTTCAGTTACACTAAAACGGAAACCAAAAATGTCTTACTAACACAGTATTAGGGAGAAAAATACCCACTATCACCTTAAAAACTGTGATGAATAGTGATACCCACAATTTTAACATGTAAAACAAATGCTCCTAGATTTAAGAAATTTTTTTTCTGGTACAACTGTGATCAACAAATTTATCATCAATTTCTATCACTGTTATTTTTGAGGCATATAGTTTACTAAACACTATTCTAGGATGTAGCTACTCTATTTAATACAGTAGTTACTAACAACATATGGCTAAAATAATTTAAATAAAGTAAAATTAAACAAAAATTCAGTTCCTCAGATTTTCTAGCCACATTTCAAATGCTAAGTAGCAATGTGGTTAGTGGCCATTGTATTGGATAGCTGATATACAACATGTCCATCATTACAGACAGTGCTACTCAAAATGCTGTTGTAGCTTACAGCAAATTCCATAATTTCCCTGAAATAAAGAATTTTTCTCTAATAATCATAATAAATTAAATGAAGCACAAGAGACTATTTTTTCTCTGAAAGCTATATATGGCTTAGACTTTGGTTAAATGTAGAGGCCAGTATTACCTAGTATTAGGCATCTGACTGCTAACCAGAAGGCTGGCAGTTCAAACCCACTGGCCACTCCTTGGAAGGAAGGTTGGGCAATCTACTTCTGTAGAGATACCGCCTCAGAAACCCAAGGAGGGGTCACCATGAGTTGGATCTGACTCGATGGCAGTGAGTTTGGTTTTTGATTTTTTTTTACAATAAAGTCAAATGCTCCTCTTTGTTATTAATGTATATATGTTGTTGCATTATAAAAAGTGATGTAACAAACATATTTCTAGAAATGTTGAGATTCTACAAAGAAACAGCACAAAAGGGGGGAAGGACAAAACCATATGCGTACCTGCGAGTACTTGCACTTGGGTTGTAGTTCTGCTCATAACCAAGAGAAAAGGCAAAGTTTTCCCAATCATCAGTGTTCCTATCAACAAGACTTGGCCAATGACCAATAGCTGCAGATCCATTCTGTGAGGGAAAAGCTAGTCCTAGGCTTGCAATAGTGCTTTGGCTTTGCTGGAATGAGGCAAGTCCCTTTAGGAAATCAGGTCGGCATATGCAGAACTCGTCCCCAGGACTGCCATCCTCTGATCTGGGTTCTGCTCCCACTTCTTTATGATCTACTTTGACCACTGGAAACCTCAATTTTCCTTTTGGGACTCCATTGACAGACTCTTGGATTGAAAGGACAGCTTCCATTTCACAAACAGTTTTTGCAGACTCACAGCTACTGATGAATATACCCTCTTTGACTTCTTTCAACATCTCTGAACTCCCCAGCGGATTCCATTTCTCTAGTTGAGTAGCAACATATTTATCTGCAATACTTTGTAACTTGTCAACACTACAATCCAAACTTGAGGTCAGTTTTTGTGGTTGCCTTAGTGATGAAGAAGTAGGAAATGCTGGTAGACTTCTAGAACGCAGCATGTGAGTGGTCATGTGCTGTGGAATAATGCTGGAGGAATTATTTCCTGATAAGAATAGATAGAAAAATATTACCTAAAAATTTATCAGTCACCACTATAGCAATAGTCCAATTAGCTAGCATTGGTAAAGAGTCCATATAAGTGAATTTTCTAGTAATTAATGATAAAAATTCTTAAATGCCAAAACAATTTTTCTTTAACTATTTTTTATTAAACTCTTCCAAAAATGTTTATCTTTTCCTGCCTTCTTAATAAAATACAATATTGACTGAGTGATTCAAAATCATTAGGATTAACTGCTCTACTATAGTGAAATTAAGTGAATGAACTGCAATTTAAATTTACCTCAGGCTAGTAATCTCTAGGATACATTTTGATACAGGGTTTACAACTAGATGTAACTAGTTGTGTTACTTAGGTGGCCTTAATTATCATTTCGGAGCTCTGGTAGCATAGTGCCTAAGGCACTTGACTGCTAATCAGAAGGCTGGTGGTTGAAACTCACCAGCCTCTCCTTGGAAGGAAGATGGGGCAATCTACTTCCTAGTGATACTGCCTTGGAAACACAAGGAGGGGTCGCTATGAGTGGGGTCTGACTCCACTGGCACATAACAACAACAACAACAATTATCACTTAATTACAGGAGTGTCAGTTTCTGCAAATGTAAAATGAGGGTTCAGAATATTTACTTTGCAGGGCTTCTTTAAGCATTAAATTAGATCAGATTTGTAACTCATCTTATCATAGTACCTGGCAAATAATATAGATGTTCAGTAAATGGCAGTAGTAATTGTCATTACATTTGTTATCATACTTATTACAACACTAAATGGCCCGGAACAGTTTTGTCTCTTTCACTTATATAATAACTTCTTGCTGTTACCAGTGAGAGGCAATAATTCTCTTCTTGGTATAGCTCTACAATTTGCTGTTTCTAATATGCTATGTAAGGAGCTCTGGTGGTGCAGCGCCTAAGGCATTTGACTGTTAACCAGAAGGTTGGTGGTTCAAACCCACCTGCCACTCCACAGAAGGAAGACCGGACAATCTACTTCCGTGGAGATTTACCACCTCGAAAACCCAAAGGGGGTCACTATGAGTCAAAATCAACTCGATGGCAGTGAGTTTTTTTTTTTTTTTTTCTTTTTGGTTTAATATGCTATGTAGGAGGAGACCAGGAAATCGATCTCACTGGAAATGCATGGGATATAAGTGCATATTACCCAAGGTGGGAGTTCTGGTGGTATAGTACCTAAGGCATCTGACTGCTAACCAGCAGCCTGGCAGTTCAAACTCACCAGTCACTCCCTGGAAGGAAGACTAGGCAATCTACTTCTGTAGAGAAACCGCCTCAGAAACCCAAGGAGGGGTTGCTATGAGCCGAGATCAATTTGACAGCAGTGAGTTTGTTTGTTTTTTGGTTTACCGAAGGTGGGATCCGTGGACTAGCAGTGTCAGCACCACCTACATGACAGTAGACATGCACAGTCTGAGGCTCCACCCCAATCATGTTCAATCAAAATATGAGGGAAAAGCTCAGGAATCTCTGCATTAACAAACCCTCCAGGTGATTCTTAAGCATGGTAAAATCTGAGAGGCACTGATGTAAATAGGTATTGAATGAACTCTTCAGAGCATAGGCTTTGTGGCAGTAATTTCAATAGCTCAGTTTTACCTAGTTATTGGATTCTAGCTGGAGGGCTAAGGCTGCCAAAAGATTCTTTTCAAAAGACCCCTGGCAAAAGTGTATTTGAAAATGTTTCAAAGTGATGTTTATGGTTTAAAATATAGACATTTCCTAAAAAATTCCAAATAAAACTAATTAAATCATAGCCTTAAAATACTTCAATAAAAGGTCATAAAATATGCTAAAGAATGACAAACAAAATTAGAGATGAAAATACACACACACACACACACACACACACTACTATCTATCCAGATTACTATGTTATGTGTAATAATTAACAACGTTCATTGTAGTAGACATAAGGCCAGGTTGGACTGACAATCTAAGCAAAGGACCAGTATGAAAACAGACAAACCGAAAACCAAATCCCACTGCTATCAAGTCAATTCTGACTATAGTGACTCTACAGGACAGAGCAGAACTGCTCCATAAGGTTTCCAAGGCTATAATCTTTACAGAAGCAGACTGTCTCATCTTTCTCTCATAGAGTGCCTGGTGGGTTCAAACCACTGACCTTTTGGTAGGCAGCTGAGCATTTAACCATTGTACCATCAAGGCTCCTTATGAAAAAGGACAGACCAGGAAAAGAAAATTATGTGGCGAGTTCACAACTAGGAGACCTATACTTATTTTTTTTAGCAATGAGATAGTTTGTAAAAAGTGAATCAGGAAAACAGAACTGGCTTAAAGACTTGAGTATACTTACTATAGAAAACAGAAGGAATTAATTCCAAACATACCAAAAAATAACAGTGATACTAAAAGCCCCGCTACAGTTAGAGACCCTTGTCATGACTGGAATTCTCAGGGAGGACCTTCTATAGTAGCTTTTAGCCATGTAAGACAGAAATGGATATGGCACATTAGACTGACCCAGGGTTAAGGTTTTTTAGGTCAATAATACTAAAAGGTCAAGAGGACAAGAAAACTGAAGATAGTGTCAAGAAAACTGCTGAAGTCATGAAATAATAGATCTAGGTGAAAAGAGAAAGCAAGAGGCAAAGAGGAACTTGGAATCCAACGATAAAGAAAACTAGAATGACAGGAGGCTGTTATCAAATACCAGTGCTTCAGCAGTGGAAAGCACTGTGGGTGATGATAAAGTTTGATACAGGTGTGTGCATACTGGTAGACAAACAGAAAGGTCCTCAGAGTCAAGGAACTTGACTAAGACTGGAGTGTTGAATGGCCACTCAGTGACAAGTGACTGGTTTAGGTAGAAAGGAGAAAGTAAGCCAAACAAAGCTTTTGAAGAAAATGGGATAATAAATCAGATTAGTTAAAAAACAAATGACTATGATAATAAGGAACAGAGAATGCCAGAGCAAGACAGCACGAGCCTCATCCACTTCCCAAGTTCTCCTGAGGACCTGTTCTGGACACCTCTTGTTAGACTGAGCTTGAGTACTAATACAAGACGATAATGAAAATTTATTACTTAAACATATTTTATTAATTTTAAAGTTTAAATTTCCAATTACTTAGTCTGAATCTCAGGTTGTTTTAACTACCAAAACATGTACAATTTAATTTGTTCATTAAAATTCAGAACTATAACTAGAAGGATTATATTTTCCTAATGGCTGTTTTTACCTTCAGGAGGTGAAGCAGTAAAGCCAGACGGACTGATTACCACAAATCCAGGACTAGCAATGGATTTCCCCCCACTACTGGAATGCCTCAGGTACATGATTGACTGGACTTTCTCCTGAAATATCTTGCCATCTAGAATTAAAAAGGAAAAAAATAAAAAGCATTTTATAGGAAATTATCTTTTTTTGAGACAGTAAATTAAAAACGATAAATAAAAATGTAACTTTAGAAGTTGCTTATCATTAAATTAAATACACATTTTTACAAAAAGAGTTTCAAATAGGAAAAAAATATGACAAATTATACCTATATACACATGATATGTAAGTACTTACACTCTAAAATTTCCTGTTTGGTTGACTATTAACTTCTACTTCCTTTGAATCTCAAATATACTTAAAGTAAGTTTATACTTTAATATTTAACTGTTGGCTTTTTGTTAATAGAGTATTTCCAAAGAGACTGTTCATCTGTTCATTCTTTGAGGAAAGGACTGAATCTTGTATTTTTATATATCCCCTGCAGTGTCGAATATGACTGCAAAACTGATACTTCCAGCTTAAACTTCCTTCTGAGCTTCAAATTTATAAACGAAACTGCCTGATTTCTTAACTGCACCACAAATTCAACAAATCTGAACTCACTCCTCACGTTTTGTTCTCTCATTAATGAGGTAGAACCACCCACTTACCAGGTAGAGAAGACATCAAGTCAGTCGCCATGTTCTACTAATTTTATGTCTATTTCTTGAACTCTTCTCATCCTTACTATAGTGTCATAATTCAGTCTCTCACCTGGATTACTGTCACAGACTTCTAAATGATCTTCCTCATGGACATCTTGTCACTCTCAAATCCTTATAGCTACCAGAATTTTCTATCAGATGTCTCTCCTGCTTAATACCTTTCAGTGTCTCTCTATTACCTCTTTATCAACTTGGATAAAGTCCAAGTTTTGTATACAAGACTTTTCAGGCCCCTTTCTAGCCTTCTTCTTACATTACATTTCAGCAACACAGATTTCTCAGAGCTTCCTATCAAGCTGTTTTCTTTGCTTGGAAGGCTCCTTCCATCAACTTCTACTGATTCTTTAGGACTCAGATGAGTCATCACCTCCTTCAGGAGTTGTTCCTCACCACTTATTATGCACAATGAGATAAAAAAAAATGTTGACTTTTCTTTCACTGTGCTTTCCACATGGCATATGATCTGTTTATGTCTCTCTCTTCTCTAGCAAGCTGTAAGCTCCTTAAGGGAAGAAAAACACTGTTTTCCTCATCTATGTAACTCTCCAGTCCCTAGCATCATGCAGAGTACTATACTTAGTGTATGCTGAACCTAAATAAAGTCATACTATCTCATTTCATCTGGATTTTTACAGCTATTAAATAACTTTATTTATTACTACATTTCTCAAAATGGCTGTTTTACAACTATCGTTTCATACTAAATTTACCATCTACCTCTTTACAGGTATGTTGTTATTGTTAGGTCGTCAACTTGGCTCTGACTCAGTGACTCTATGTACAACAGAATGAAACACTGCCTAGTCCTTGCCAGTTTCACAATTCTTGCCCATCATTGCAGCCACGTGTCAATCTATCTCACTGAGGGTCTTCTCCTTTCTTGTTGACCCCCTACTTTACCAAGCATGATACCCCTCTCCAGGGAAGGGTCCCTTCTGACATGACCAAAGTAGGTGAGACAAAGTCTGGCCATTTTCACTTCCAAGGAGCATTCCGGCTACATTTCTTCCAGGACAGATTTTTTAGCTCTTCTGGCAGCAGTCCACAGTACTTTCAGTATTCCTCGCCAATACCATAACTCAAAAGCATCAAGTTTTCTTTGGTCTTCTTTATTCATTGTCTAGCTTTTATGTGCATGAGGCCACTGAAAATACCACGGCTTAGGTTAGGTGCACCTAGTCTTCAGAGTGGTATCTTTGCTTCTTAACACTTTAAAGTGGTCTTTTGCAGCACATTTTCCCAGGACAATATGACATCTGTTTTGTTAACTGCTGCTTCCACGGGTGTTGACTGTGGATCGAAGTAAAATGAACTCCCTGACAACTGTGATCTTTTCTCTAGTATTGTGATGTTGCCTATTGGTTCTGTTGTGAGGATTTTTGTTTTTTTATGTTAAAGTGTAACCCATACTGAAGAACTGTAGTCTCTGATCTTCATCAGTAAATGCTTCAAGTCATCTTTACTTTCAGCAAGGAAGGTTATGTCATCTGCAAATTGCAAGTTGTTATTGTATCTTCTAATCCTCATGTCATGCTCCTCATATAGTCCAGCTTCTAGGATTACTTGCTCACCATATGACTAAATAAGTATGGTAAAAGGATACACCCTGACACACACCCATTCTGATTTTAAACCATGTAGTATCTCCTCATTGTTTTTGAAAAACAGCCTCTTGGTCTGTTTATAGATTCCTCATGAGCATAATTAAGTGTTCTGGAATTCCCATTCTTTGCAATGTTATCTAAAATGTGTTTGCTTTCAGCCAAGATCCATCTGACATCAGCAATGATATTCCTCATTCCAAATCCTCGTTTGAATCCAGCTTGAATTTCTGGCAGTTCCCTGTCAATATACTCTTGCTGTATTTCTTACCTTATTACATTTTCCTAGTTCTTTTTAAACACTGATTATTCCATCTTTCTGTTACTGATTCTTCTTTCTTTTCCTACTTTCTAAACAACGAAAATTCTATCCTTAGCTTTCTTTACTTCTCTTACCAACTTTTCTTCACTGGTCTCATATCTTCTCAAAGCTATAATTAACTTCTATGATGGTAGCTCCTTAAAACTTTTATCATATTATATTACTCATATTCACCTGCCTGACAGACAATTACATGATGATTAACTACAGCATCACAAATGCAGCACATAAAACTAAACTATTCCATAACATCTCAAATCATCCCATCTTACCCTTCACACTTCTACATTTATTCCTCCTTTCCAATGTGTCTCCTTATGAAATTTAAGCTCTCTGAGAGCAGAGACCATGTCTGTTTTATTTTATAACCCTCTGCCCTGTCTCAATCCCAGTTCTTAATTAGGGCAGTTTCTAGTACAGAGGGGTCAAACAAATGTGGATCAAGTGGGAAGAAAAAAGGAAAGTGGAGATAGCTAAGATCTAACGAAAATGATGATTTTTACCTACCTATATGCACAGAAAAGTAGAAGTTTGTGGGATTGTGACAAACGTAAGTATTAGTAGGAGGGTGAACTGCTAAAAGGAAATTGAAGATAATTGTCAATAATTCCAAATCTGGGGGAGATCCAAGGACTTCCGCTATAATTTTCACAAATGATCTACAAACCTCTCGGGGCATGGATATAAACTGCCCCTCTTTGTGTTCCTGGGGGGAAAAAAAATGAAATTCTATTTAGATGTAAAGAGAACTTTCAAATTAACCAACATTAATTTTTCAATTAAGCAGATACTCTTTTTTAAGATAGATTTGGATTGGTTTACTACTCTAGTCTGATCATATTTACCATTAAATTGAGTTGCTACTTCTCAATTCAAGCAATCTTGTTATTAATTCATTAAAATGTAAATTTGCACCCCAAGCACAATTAGAAAAGAAAAAGAGAACTGAAAAACAAAGAATTCATTAAAAGTGGTGGCAATTTCCAAATCCATTAAATGGGGAAGAGAATGTTTGTTTAATAAATGGTGCTGGCAAAACTGGAGATCCATTTGCAGAAAAATGAAACAAGATCTGTACCTCA